TGAATTTTTGGTTGAAATAACATAGTCACTATAATACATGTAGAGCAAGAAACACAATCACAAGAAACAAAATACACACTAGCATATTATATTAGTCTTTGTTGAATTCAATTTCCTTCACATAACATGTTTTCTTTGTATAGATCACTTTCATGGCAGGAGACTGAAGGAGTTCTTCTTGGAGCTCTTTCTCACTATCATTAGAATCCATGTCAGGTAGGATCTTTAACAAATTAGCTGTTGTCATCTTGAACATATGTTTTTCACCATCTTTAGCCTGAAACAGCACATTGGCTGACACCTCAAATCTTCTTCGAATCATTAGTTGGACGATATTACAGTGTTGGCATCGTGCACTTAGAGAGTCTTTGAGTTCCTTTAGAACTTTTGCAGAGCAGTTCACACAGGACACATGCACATTGAAGTTTGTGCAGCCGATGATCTTCGCTTCTACTTGACTAGTATCCTCCTCCTCGATCACTTTTGCAGGTGTGCTAGCATCATTCATCAGCTCAAATTTACTTGAACGAGAAAGTAATACATTCTTCTCTCCTTGATAAGAACGGATGTACACATCAATGAGCTTGTATTGTTTTCCAATCTCTAATTTATCAACATTTTCCCCCCACACAGATAAATTTATGGAGCCACTGCTATTACTGATAACGACGTCTCGAACAGTTCCAGTTGAGACAGCACGAACAGGTGCCAAGTAGACTACAGTAACATTTAAAGTAACTTTTGTCCCATCTGCCATGTTCTCAATATTAATTATATCTGTTTCTTTTGTTATCTCAGCAGGTGTAACCTTCACATCAAATTTTTTTGGAGATTGGGTAACAAGTGTCGTTTTGTTGACGAGGATCTCCAAATCGTCTGACCGGCTCTTCTTAATAACACAGCTGTCGAGTATAACGGGTTCTTGCCTTAGGTGGTATGACGACAGCTTCTCCTGTGTAGCAACATCAAATCCAACGAGAGGTACTTTATTTTTGCCATCACTAACAATACCCCTGTAATTTTTGAGCAACTTTAAAAATTCATTAAAAATTTAAATTCAATCAGAATCAGCTAAAACTTATACGCAACATCAGGACAAGTATATGTATCAAAAAAATATTATAAAATTGAGAATTCTCTTTTTTCAATTTTGAAGAAATTTGGCCAACACCCCTGTACTAAATAGTACAGGGACTTTGACCCAATTTTTGAGCAACTTTAAAAAATCGTAAAAATCCAAATTTGATCAGAATCAGCTCAAACTTTCTACACAACGTAAGAACTTTTATATGCATCAGAAAATGTTATAAAAATTGAGAATTCCCTACTTGACATTTTGGGAAAAGATGCTCCTGTACTATTAGTAACGCGGTAGCGTTACTAAGTAGGATTCACCCCCAAACAAAATGGCTGCCATGACTTTTGCAGCCTTGCTATCATAGGCGGCTGCAGGGGCAGGCCATGAGGGCAATGCCCTACTAGAATTTCTTACCGGAAGATGACCTCATCATAATTAGCAGTTAATTACTAATTATTTAGTAGTTA